CACTGGGCCAATAAACAACATTCTTATCAATGGAGAAAAAACTGAAGTGGTCAAGGGCTTCATTCTTCTTGGATCAACTATCAACACTCATGGAAGCAGCACTCAAGAAATCAAAGGACATACTGCATTAAACAAATCTGCTGCACAAGACCTTTTTAAAGTGTTGAAAAGCAGAGATGTCAGCTTGAGGACTAAGGTACGCCTGACCCAAGTCATGGTGTTTTCAATAACTTCATATGCATGCGAAAGCTGGACAGTGAATAAGGAAGACCGTAGAAGAATTGATGCTTTTGAGTTATGGTGTTGGAGGACAATATTGAAAGTGTCATGGCCTGCCCATAGAAGCAACAGCTCTCTGTTGGAAGAAGTGCAGCCATAATGCTCCTTGGAGGCCAGGATGGCCAGGCCTAGTCTCTCATACTTCAGACATATTGTCAGGAGGGACCAGTTGCTGAAGAAGGATGTCATGTTTGGTAGGGTGGAGGGGCAGAGAAAAAGCCGAAGACCCCCTAGTAAGATGGATAAATGGCAGCATCAATGGGCTCAAGCGTGGCAACAGTAGTGAGGCTGGCCCAGGACCAGGCAGTGATTCGTTCTGCTGTACATAAGGTAGCTATGAGTCAGTACCGACTCGATGGCACCTAACAACAACAAGCATATCCCAGTTTGAAGAACACTCGGTTAGATCTAAAAGTATTAAAAATTTCCTTAAAACAGCTACATTCCAATCCCAGAGTATACCCTCAATACTGAACACATGGGAGAGCCACCCTAATCATACCTTTGAGATGGGTGCATCTGTTTTATAAAGATTCAACTAATGAGTCCTGGTGTGGTGGTTCGGGTTAATATGCTGGACTGCAAGGTTGGTTTGAACAGCAAGGTTGGCAGTTCAAGCTCATCAGCCGCTTCTTGGTAACCCTGTACAGAGTTGCTATGAGTCAGAACCGACTCGATGGCACTTAACAATAATAACAATTCTCAAGGTTTTTCAATTCTGGTGGATCCTGCAATCCAAATAGCCCTATGTTGTTTAGTGCCATCGAGTCAATTCCAACCCATAGCGACCCTGTATAGGGTTTCCAAGGAGCAGCTTGGTGAGTTCGAACTGCCGACCTTGCAGTTCAAATGACATTGCAGTCTTTGGCATTAACCCACAATGCCACACCAAGACTCCCCATGGGGTTTCCAAGGCTGTAAGCTTTACAGAAGCAGATTGCCCTATCTTTCTCCCACGGAGCAGCTGTGGGTTCAAACTACTGGATCTTTCTATTAGCAGCTGAGGGCTTAATCACTGTACTCCCAGGGCTCCTTTCTGTTGACTATGTCAATTTCACACACAAAATGATAGGCTATTGTCTCTAGAAGCTGAAGAGGCAAAGTATTGATACCAGCTTCCTCTACTAAGACAGTTAAGGCAGTCAAGTTCAAACATCAAAGATCTGTTGAGGCAGCCCCATTTCAGTATCCTGATGGTAGAACAGAATCAAGATGACCTATAGCAGCCTGAAGTGAAATTAGGGGATAAATTGGTTGGGGATGTCCCATTCATAAGGGGTTCCCCGGGTAGGCATAAGGGGGATCCCCTTAAATATGACAGAACACCAACAGTAAATACTTGTATAAGAAATCAAGGGGAGAACAGTTTATGATTTTTAGGAGGCGACTGAAAGGAGTGGGGGAATTCTTAAAAACTCCATTTGCAGAATAGACCCCCTTCTGCTATTCAGTTCCCTTAGTATAGGGTTATTAGTATGAGATATTTGTGATTCCATCTCTTTGATCTTTGTTTCTAATTCCATCTAACTTCAGAGTTTAGAGGAAGACAACTGAGTATATAGATATACAAGTAAACGCAAAAAATTTAAATACACATATGCATTTGACTGTTGAAAGTTCAGTGGCCCTAGTATTTAGGCCATGTGTTTGCACAATTTAAATCTAGTGTAGTTCATTTCAGAACGCTAGTGGCATGGTGATTAAAGTGCTTAGCTGCTAACCAAACGGTATTTGGTTCATGCCCACCAGAATAAAGATGAGGCAATCAGCTTCCTTAAAGATTTACAAACTTTTTGGTTTGTCATTTCTAATTAATACAAGTTTAAACATAATTCTAGACAAAAGACAATGTGGACCGAATGAATGTATATGTAAGACGAATACAGTCCGGGCACAATTAACACCATTTTTGGTGAATTGGCACTACCAGAAAGCAAAAACAATACTAACATAAACTTACATGTTGTTGTTGTTAAGTGCCGTCGAGTCTGTTTCGACCCATAGCGACCCTGAACAGGATTTCCGAGGCTGCAAATCTTTACGGGAGCAGATCGCCTCATCTTTCTCCCACGGAGCGGCTGGTAGTTTCGAACTGCTGACCTTGTGGTTCGCAACCCAATTCATAACCACTACACTACCAGAGCTCCTTAACATAAACTTACATAGTGCTTATTATATGGTTACTGGTGTGTGCTATTGAGCTGTATAGGTTTTCCAGGAATGGGGGTGGGGAGTGTTTGGAAGCGGCAACCTTACCATGTACTATGTATGCATAAAAGATGAAAAGAAGAGTTAATAATTTTAGAAAGAAAATAGACTTTATTGTTGAAATTTAAAAAATCTTAAACTCATTTTCACTTCCCATCACCTTACATAATTAACTTCAGTAATTTTTTATTGGAGGCGGAGCGGTATGGTTGTTGTTGTCAAGTGCCGTCGAGTCGATACCGACCCACAGCGACCCTGTATAGGGTTTCCAAGGAGCAGATGGTGAACTTGAACAGCCATCCTTGCAGTTCAAACGGCTTTGCAGTCTGGCGCATTAACCCACAGCGCCACACCAGGAGCGGAGCGGTATGATAGTAGTAGTTAAGGTATAACAACGGATTTACTTGCAAAGTGGCTCAAATTAAGAAAACTAACTCATTTAAGGAGAAAGTACAATTGTAGTCTTCCATATATTACATGGAAGCACAAATTATATACAGTCAAATGAGCACGATCATTTTTTATTCAACTTCTAAAAACTTATTTCTTAAAAGAGTAAATAGCTCCTCTACAGTTTGGGAACAGTTTTCCCCTGAAATGAGTTTGAAAAAAATAAAATTCACCTCACATTGTATAACAGTAAACCGATTCTAAATACTTCAGCATTTACTAAATTTAATATGTGCTAAGGAATTTTAAAAGGAGCTCTGGTAGCATAGTGGTTACGAATGGGGCTGCGAATCTCAAGGTCAGCAGTTCGAAACTACCAGCTGTTCCATGGGAGAAAGGTGAGGCTTTCTGCTCCCGTAAAGATTTACAGCCTTGGAAACCCGTTCAGGGTCGCTATGGGTCGGAACCGACTGGATTGGCACTTAACAACAACAAGGAATTTTAAAATAGGGAGTATGGGCTCTAAGAGCTTTTTCAGTTTGTTTGTGTTTGGAACTCTATCAAGATTATAATTATGGAAATTTCATTTCCAACTCAATCTACCTAATCACTCTAAATTCCACATGTAAATACTTAAAAAAAATTTTTTTTTTTTAAATTTTAAGCATACACTCTTTGGAGCCGCACCACATCCGTGTAAGCAGACTCCTCCCCGCTCCTGGGGAAAACCCTGCCTAATATTTATAACGTTATGACATACTGTAATACTCACAAGGTGGTTGTAGAAGTATAACACGACTGGAGTTATCTGATTGGCTGCTGGTGATGTAACACTCATGTCAATACTTCCCAGTGAACGCACGTGTTCGACCTTTTATTTAAATTTCCATTTCATCACAGCAATAAGACACTCGGGGCGGTGCATTTTCTGTGAAATGATTATTGCCTTGGGCCTGAGTTGCTGCTCGCGTACACAATGCATCAGAGGAGGAGGTGTCCATGGTTGTAACCTCCTCGGGTGAAAAGCACCTCCTGGTCCAGTCTTTGTGAAGGAACAAAATAAGTTCACTTCCTTGGGCACCGCCGCCCACCCCTGACCAAATGACAAGGCTGGAGCGCAGCTCCCACCACACAGTTATTGCCAAAGTCCCAGGTGAACTCGTGGCGAGAGAAGGAAAATGTGCGTCCCGGGCGCGGGTAGGTGCCTGTGGGCAGCGGGGAGGCGGCCGGACCCTGACACTCGCCAGCTGTTTGTCCTTCGCGTAGCCCGGCCGCGGCTGCACACGTCCGCCCCCTCCCCGAGACCCCCAGCCTGCCGCCTGGCCTTTTGTCCCCCGCCCCTCGGCCGACTTCCTTCCCCGCGACCGCACCCCCGCCCCCAGGCCGGAGGCGCG